GGTGGGAAAAAATGAATAGGTTGGCTCTGAGGAGGGTGCTCAAAGGGGCCTCCCCGAGTTCTGGGACTTACCTCAGGTTTGCAGGTCGTTTCATCTAAAATAAAAATACTTCTGGTGCTCTCCACAATGCAATTTAATCCTAATTTAGACGCACATATATGGAGCCTGGCCAGCTTCTGAGGGCAGCCTGTGTGAACAGTGTATTTGCTCAGGATCAGTTCAGGAGAACTCTGGCAACCATCATTTTAGCTAAAAAAAAAAAAAAAAACAGGGTGCTGCTGGCTTTGCCTCCCTTAGAAATGAAATCCTCACTCCCCAGGAGAGCAGCCTGATGACTCCACATTGAGATGTGCATATTCCTCCATCAGGACCAAGTGGAAAGGTTCAGGTGACTCTATCCTGGCAGCCCCACTCCAGAAGGAGCTGCTCCTGCACTCAAAACCACCTGTGGGTATTTTTATTGTTGTTTCTGCTCCCCAGCTCCATAATTAAACACTCCAGGAGAAGGTGTTGCACCCAGATATTGTTATTTTCCTCTCTTTTTTTTTTTCCACAGTAGTAATTTTTTGCATTAATTACTCCTGAGAGGAAAGCCTTTCCCCCCCCACGCACCCCTCGCCTTGGCTTCCCCAAGGGCTGATGTTATCAGGCACAGCCTGGGGGAGCAGGCACACGTTTTGCCCTGGGGATGGACCTGCTGATGCTGCTGCTGGGCAGGGTCCAGCTGGCTGCCCCTTCAAGAACTGGCTCCCTCCGTGCTGACAGCAGGGAAAACCCCTGGCCAGGCAGCTCTGACTCAGGAGCAGCCGGGCAGGGGGGCTGGTGAGTAACTGCTGCTGCTCACACACCTCCCTTTGCTGACTAAAAACTCTTACAGTCCCTTCTACCTTTTTCTTCTAAGGCTGCTTATCTTTCACCTTTAACCAGCTCCTCACTGGCTCGTGATGGAGCTCAGCCAGAACCTCCTTACCATGAACTGCTAATTCCCTTAAAACAAACCTCTCACATCCCAAGCTATTCGTTTTTTACCTGCTGTGCCATTTCTGTGCTCAGGACTCCACATCTTTGCCTTGACACCAGTCACTTTGCAAGTGGGAGAGGGACCCTGAGGTGCTCCAGCTGCTGAGAAGCTCCAGGAGTGGTTTTTTCCAAAGGCAATTCCAGTCCCTCAGCACAACACCTACCTGAGCTGCACCAAGCCTTGATTACTGAACAGGGGAAAAAAACTCGTTTTACAACCAATATTTCACTTTATTCTTCTACTCCCAACTAAACTTTAGCCACTCCCATTTAGCCCTGTTTCCATTTCCCAAGGGAACAAGGCACCTGCAGTTACACGGCCCCACAGTCCATCCAACCTCCTCCTCCTTCCCCTTATTTTGAAACACAACAGAAAATTTCAGCTGCATTCAAGGGGACAAGTCTCAGTTTATAGCTCTTAGTGCCCAGGCAGGGAGCAAGACTAAAAAAATTCCCCTAAACCAGGGAGCTGACGCAGAAGTGACGTATCAGATGGCTTCCCTAAATTCCCTGGCTCACAGAACTAACTCCCTGCTGCAGTTTTGTCCCTGTGTTTTACAGGGAAAGCCAAGCAAGAATGGATCCTTCCACGGGAAAGCCAACCCACTGTGTTTGCTCAAAGCCAGCTCAGATGTCTGCAGCAGCTACAGTTATCGATATTTTATTTATTTATTTGGAAATCAGCAGGAAAAACAGACGCCACTTTTCAAACCCGCAAACGCTCCAGGTGAGGGACTGAGTGCTGTTATTTTTGGAACAGGAACCCGTCAGGCTCAGCCCAAATGAACCCAAACCAGGATGTTTTCCCAGTCAGAAGAGAAATGCCAACAGCAGAGCGCGGCTGGTGAAAAGAAAAGATGTCATTTTAGCTGTCCACAGGTGCTGTTTGTGAGACCAGCCAGTGGAAACAAGCCTGGTTTGTTAAATTTGGAACCCCTGGAGCAGGGATCAGACCCACTGGAGCAGAGCTGCCTTCAGAATCTGAGAAGGCCCCAGAGCTGTTAAAGCCAACAAACACACACCAATATTTCGACAGTTTTTCATATGAAAGTGTCCCATTTAACACAGGCATGAGCTCACCAGGGTAAAGGTGGCCACTGTTTCTGCTCAGGAATTATTAGGCGAGGTCAGGTCCTATTAATCCCCTGAAAGGTGTTTTGTACACCAGGTGCTCATGAGTTTTCCCTGACATGGGCTAACCCACTCCTTTCTAAGACTGGTCTTGAGTTTACCAATGGAAGACAGAGCAGTTCCCACAATATAGACATGGAAAGAACTTGGGCTTCCAGCCCCACAGAAATGCTCCTCTCCCTCTGATATTAAAAAAACCAAAACCAAACAATCAAAGAGAAAAATCCCCACAAAGAAAAATCCATCAAACAAAACCCCCCACAATAGAAAAACAAACAAATAAAAAACCCCACGACCCCCAACAAACAACAAACCCAAAGAGAAATAAACCACGCACAAATTTCCCCCCCAAAAAACCCCAGATTCCAAAAAAAAACCCCAGGTTAACAGGCACAACACAGAAGCCAACACAACAGGAACACGAAGAGGATTTCCCTTTCCATTTGCTGCTCCATGTGTGCCTGCCCTCAGCACTCCCAGCACACTGCTGAGAATCCAAACATCCAGGCCTGTTCCCATGAAATCAGACCCCAGACCACGAGGGGTTATGGTTAACTTGGGCACAAAGAGGTAAATTAATTGCTAAGATGATGTAATTTTTACACACTTTAAATATTTCTACTTTCCACCCATTTGGGCTTCAATCCTTGTTGCCAAGGGACCAACTTTCCTGGCTTCTTAATCTGCCCTGCAATAAAAGGGGTGCTCCCTTTATAAAAAGTTAATTGAAAATAATTTTCTACTTCCCCATCAGTATCACAAATGCCCCGCTTCCGCATCATTCCTAAAAATGCCCTGGCACTGCCAACACCTCATGTCTGTGAGCGCTAAACTATGCAAAGCACTGGCAGCTGATCCAGGCTTTTCCACCCCTGTGCCAAGCAAGCCTATCTGGGACTGTGTTAACACAATAGTTGAGGAAAAAGCTGCAGGAAGCAGTTCCTTTGCATTGCTTCCTTTCCCACATACAGCCAGGCCTGAGCCTGAGCTGCAAGTTCTTCTGGATTCACTTGTGTGGCTGAAAGAACTTTTATTTTATGTCCAGAAGCCTCCAAAACACTTCAAGAACCAGGCTGATGGAACTGAACACCACATTTTCTAGAGAAGACTCCTAAAAATGCATTTAATTCTTACCCTGCTCGGAAACACTGCTATCCAGGCCAAGGAGACCACCAAAATTTCATCTGCCAGGAAGCATTATTTGCCAGCACTGACAAGAAATGGTGTTTCTGCCACATCCAGCCAGCAGCCACTGCCACCACGGTGCTGGGCTCCCACTTTTCCAAGGGGGAGAACGCTCTCTGAGCCTGCAGTGGGATGTTTGGCTAAAAGAAGCAAAATTCAGGACTTTCGGCCCTTCCAAGTCAGCTGACTTCCTATTTCAGAGCCAAACCATTTCAGCACAAACCTGATCACTGTGAGAAAAACCATTACAGTCCATGTTCTCAGCCGAGCTCACTGGCTGATTTGAAGGGCATGCAATCCAAGAATTAAGGGGATAAAGCATGAGAGAACCCAGGTCTATAGACCCATTCTGAGGGATCTTTCCAGACGAATGACTGACACAAAATCACCATCCCCCTGGCTATCTCCAGCCTCTGGAATCAAGAGCATGAATTTGTCTCAGCAGCCTCCTGCTCCCAACCATTTCTTCTCAGCACAGCAGAACGATGAGACAAAAGAGAAATCTTCCAAGTCTTAAATATTTTGGGAATTGTAACAGTCAAACCTTTCCTGTTTTTGGAGGATTTTTGTTGTTACCACAGCTACACATGCACAGCCACATTCCACCAAGTGTGCAGATGCACTGGTGTGCAGATGTCTTGGAGAGGAGCAGCAGCTCAGAGCGAGGCTTTGTGAACAGGATCTCCTGGACTCGTGCTCCCTCTACAGAAAGATTTAAGGGCAGCTTCTTTCATCTCGTCTGATCCTGTTTTAGCAAAGGGAGGGAGTTTCAAATCGCTCAGGAACATTAAAGCAGGACAAAGGGGATGCATCTGCAGGGCAGCTTCCCTGGGCACTGCACAATGACCAGCCCAAAGGAGCTGATTCTTATTCCCTCCTCTCTCAGAGGTCAGTTCACCTCATGGATGCAAACACTTAAATCACCCTGAACCACCCAAAACTGCCTCAAACACAAACCCCCAAAGCAGAACCCAAACCAGAGCCCAGATATAAAGCCCTCTGTCAGGGTTTATTTTTCAGGCACCTGTATTTTTTCACAGCTTTCACCACCCTCTTCAACCACACAAAACCAGGTGATTATCACCAGGGTTGCCTCAGGCACAAAAGTTTTTGTAGTTCATGAATTATTAGCTCTGAGCTTTTATTGATACCAAGATCTGGATGTTCTGTACGACAGGGGTCAATCAAAGGGGAAAAAAAAAACGAAACCAATTTTTTATTAGCACAAAATAAGAGCACAAACGTGCCTTTAAGGTTGTCCATGCAATGCCTAAGGCACGTGCACACCAAGGCTCCAGGTAAAGCTTTTGCAGATACAGAACACATTCTATGGAATTCTGATCCAACTCCCACCTCCCCAGATTTCTTAGAAAACACCAGCCTTTTCTGAAATAAGGCTACTAAAGAACGCAGGTTTGAGCTTTTCCAAATGCTTGTGTCATATATACAATCAAGAGGAGCTCTTCCACTCGTCCCATCTCCCACAACTGACCGTTCTTATGTCCTAATGAATCAGACAGGAATTCCAGAAATTCGGCTGCAGCCCAGGACACCTCTGCTCAGACAAAGGAGCAGTGCCAAACCAGCACCCAGGAGCTCACACCACTCCTCTGGGAGTGCTTATTTCATCACATTCAGAGAGAGGTTAAATGTCATCCACGTATTGAAATATATAATTTTTTTTTAATTACAATTACAGGTCAAAACTCGAGACAGGTGGGTTTTATCGCTTTGAGCTCCTCAGGAATATCTTGGGTGTTTGCCATCCTGCAGGAGGGCCTTTCAAACCTGCCCTTTTCCAGATGCGCTCCAAATCTTTCTCGAATTTTATCTAAAACAGGAAAAAAAAAAGAAGAAGAAAAAAAAAAAGAGGTAACACAGCCCAGTAGCAACACCTGAATATTCATTCACAGCCACTGCCCACATGTCCCAAGGACAGCCTAACACACAGAGAGGAAACAAAGGCAGCTTGTTTTGAGTGACAAAATATTTACCCTTGCTGCAGACAAAACATTAGAAGATGTTAAAATGCACAAGGATCTTGGTAGCACTATTTTAAAAGCCTTGTGCAAGAAAAAGTGAGAAGATGGACAATGAAGTGGTAAGAAAATCAGGAGGATTTTCTCATCATCTAAGTGTTCAACACTGCCTCCTACAAATCTGAAGGCATGGAATTATAATTAACCCCAATTTGCATCCGGGCAAGGTGAGAATTAGCAGAGAATGAACTAAATTGTATCACAGCAAACCCTGCTGAAAGGTAGTGCTGATGAGAACATCCACAGCCTGAACAGAGGGCCATGGCTTCCCCCAGCCCTTCTACTAAGGGAAGAAAAAGGCCTCTCTATAGGATAAAACAACAGGAAGCATTTGAGGATCTTGGCAAGACAGGAGAGAAATTAGGATTAAACCAATATCCATGATATAACACAGACACATCTTTCACACAAACACTAAAATTCTTCTCCATCAGCCCCATCTTTTTGTAATTTACTGTCATGGAAGAAAAATTTCACCTAGTAACTATCTCACCATCCCAGAATCATTAAGGTCAGGAAAGGTTTTCGAGACCACCCTGTGCCCCATCCCCACCTTGTCCATCAGCCCAGGGCACTGAGTGCCACGTCCAGTTTTTCCTTGGACACTTCCAGGGGTGGGGGCTCCACCATCTCCCTGGGCAGCCCCTTCCAGTGCCTGACCACCCTTTCCAGGAAGAAATTCCTCCTGATGTCCAATGTGAAATCAATTCCACTTAAAAACACGTTTTACACCAGGAGAACCGCCCCCTTCCCCGAGCTCACCTGGCGCTTCTTCTTGCGCCCCTCCTTTATCCTCCTGCGGATGAACTTCCTCCTCTTGAGCAGCTTCTTGTACTTGTGGCGGTTCATCTTCCTCCTGCGGATCTTCAGGACGTTCTTGCACTGCACGGTGTCCCCGGGGGCCGCTCCTCCTTCCCCCACGGCCGCTCCCCCGGCGGGTGGGGGGCACTCGGACCCCTCTGCGGGCTCATGGCCCACCTCCCCCTGAGCTCCCTCTGCCTCGGGGAGGGAGTATCTCACCGACAGCCAGCTCTCCAAAGGGCTGATGGAGAGTTTCCTGGGAACCAGGATCTCCTCCAGCTCAGGGTCCAGGCTGTGCCACTGCTGGGGCTGGGCCCCGCTCGTGTTGGGGGGCTGGGTGCTGTAGTGGGCGGACGTGGCGCGGCAGCAGAGGAAGGAAGACACAGACCTGGGCAAAAGGTGGCCTTTGGGAGAAAAAGAATTTCACTTAGAAGGCAGAATTTTGTACTGTCATCGTAACAGCCTTTCTAAATTTTAATTACACCGCTATAATGCCACCCGCTAAAAATACATCGTGCTTTACTGTGTGAACTGCCCAAGTCACCCAGGCAGAGCAGGGTGGAGGTTCTCCTTCACTGAGCAGACCTGGTCTAGTGGAAGGTGTCCCTGCCGACAGCAGGAGGTGAATTGGATGACCTTTAAGGTCCCTTCCAACCCAAACCATTCTGAGATTCCACGAAGCGCAATTTGGAACGGTGAGGAACTGCTTGCTGTTATCAAACCTTCCTGCTGCTGAGAAATCTCCTCTTTGGCTTAGAAAAGGTTAAATTAGAGCTACTCAATCCTGACATAATAGATCAGAGATGTTAACAGCACTCAGCAAGCACTGACTCAACAACAGCCTCCTCACTCCTGCCATTGCTTCCCAGAAATTTCTGAGAGATAGATTACCCCAGGGAAAAAAAAAAAAAACAGAACACACAAATAAATAAGGTCGCACAACACCGGTTTACCTGCAATTCTCGAAGCCTTCAGTAACTGGGAACTCAGCTGTGCTATTAACATTTTGTTTCACTTTGTTGACTGGCAGAGCCAGCAGTGACTGTTAAAATACAAACATTTATTCCAGGAGGCAAACATGCATTTCACAAAAAACAAACAAATTCTCTATTTAACCCCAAACCCCCTAAAAGACGGGCTGAGACACCCTAAGCATCCTCCTCGTTTTACCGTGTCAGTCTGCCGGGCTGTGCTGCGGGGAGGGGGTAGCTGAGCCCCGGAGGTGATTAATTAACAAATCTTGGGCTGGTTTAGCTTTAAAAACGCGGCCACCGCAGCCGAGTCCCCCCCGGCCCAGCGCTCAGGGTTCCCCCCCTTCAGGCCGGCAGGAGCGGCCGCTCGGCCCAACGATGGGGCCGTAACCGATGGGCTGCCCCCGCTCCCCGCAGCCCTCCCGGCGCTCCCCGCCGCCTCCCCCCGAGCCCTGGCACGGCCCACCCGGCCCTCCCCGGCGCCATCCCCGGCGCCATCCCCGGCATCACCGCCATCACACACCGGCCCCGCCGCCGGAACTTCCGCAGGCTCCGCCGGCGCCCTCTGGGGGCCGCGGGGGGATGAGGTTTATACCGACCGCTACGGTCCTTCGTGGTCGGTCCCTTTGTGGTCCTTTGTGGTTCTTCATAGTCTCCCCACACAGTCCCTCACGGGTGCCGGTCTCGGCCCTTCGTAGTCCCTCATGATCCTCCGTGGTCACTGTCCCTCATGGCCCTTCATGGTCCCTCATGGCCCCTCATGGTCCTTCACGATCCTCATGGTCCTTCATGGCCCTTCATGGTCCCTCGTGGCCCCTCATGGTCCTTCACGATCCTCATGGTCCCTCATGGCCCATCACAATCTTGGCCCTTCATGGTGCCTCGTGGCCCTTCACTAGCCCTCGTGGTCCTTCACAATCCTTCACGGCCCCTCATGGTCCTTCGTGGTTCCTCATGGTCCTCCATGGCCCCTCATGGCCCCTCACAAGTCCTTCACTGGCCCTCATGGTCCCCGTCTCGGCCCTTCATGGTCTCTCACAGTCCATCATGGTCCTTCATGGCCCCTCACGGTCCTGGTCTTGGCCCTTCACAGTCCCTCATGGTCCCTCATAGTCTTTCATGGTCTTGGTCCTTCATGGTCTCTCATGGTCCTTCACAGTCCCTCATGGTCTTGGCCCTTCGTGGTCCCTCATGGTTCCTCATGGTCCTCACGGTCCCTCACGACCCCTCGCAGTCTCAGTCCTGGTCTCAGTGACCTTGAGGGAGCATCCCAGGCTGAGCCTCTCCATCTCCCTCAGCTTCTCCTGGAGCTCCAGACCCTTCCCTGGCTGCGATCCAAAATAAATCATTCGAGCGGTTCAAACCCAGCGTGTCCCTCACCCGCCAGGTTTGCACAGGCACCTCAGTCGCACCTGGGAAGTCGATGTCTGCGTTGTGCTCACCTGCTGAGTCACAGCTGCACCTACCTCACCGAAACAGGTCTGAACATGGAACCGTGGCACAACGAGCCCACATCAGGAGGAATTTTGGGCATCAGGAGGAGTTTCTTCACAGAAAGGGTTGTTAAACACTGGAAGGGGCTGCCCAGGGAGGTGGTGGAGTCACCATCCCTGGAGGTGTTCTAGGAACAGCTGGATGTGGCACTCGACGCTCTGGTTTAGTTGACGAGGTGCAGATCAGCCAAAGGTTGGACTTGGTGTTCTTGGAGGTCTTTTCCAACCTCCGTGATCCCATGGTTCTGTTCCAGTGAGACTGTCTATCCCTGCTGACATGGGGATCATGGAAGGCGGGCAGACACCTCTCCCTTACACACCCTCGTCTGCATCTGTGGGCGGGTCTCAGTGGCTGCTGTCCAGGCACAGCCACACCTGTCTCTCCCTCTTACCTGGCTGTTGTTTGTCTTTCTTGCTTTTGGTGCAGGAACCCACCACGTTGGCACGGCATGAAAGTGCCTAATCTGCTGGCATGAGGGAGGGATGGTGAAGCCAATCCCAGACTTCAAAGAACTTTTTGCTTTTATACCTCCCTCGGCAGCACACAAGGGATTTATTCACCAGCTGCTTGTAGTGTTTCAGACCAGAGCAAGGGTCTGTCTCAGTTTTTACACCCCACCGTGTCAAACTCATCTAGCCTGAAAGGGAACAGCAACGGCTGGAGTTCCTACTGCAAGGTAGAAGTGCAGTTCTCTGGTAAGGGAAGAGAAACCAACGAAGAGAAATTAACTGAAGCAGTTCAGTAAACAGACTGGTTTTTTATTGGAGACACTTCAGAAGTTTATGTACAAAACAACATTCCCACCCCCATATCAGGATGTTAGTCACCCGCTGGGAACAAAGCAACGCCTGGTGTACGCTGTCAACCTGGGGACAGTTTGCCAAGGAATTCACAGAAGTACCAAATTCACGTGGTTTGGGAGCTGGGCAATTTCAGCCTTGGCTCAGTTAGGACCGAAGGAGACCACAGGACCTTTTCTTCTGGAGACTGAGCGTGCTGGGATCTGACAGCCTACGCTGGCCCTGCTCTGAGCTCAGATCGTTTAACCCTGCAGAGAGCAAGAGGCCCGCTTTGGTTTTGGAAGTGAAGAGGAACCAGCCCCCGGATTTATCTTGCAGGTTTTAATCCATTTCAGAGGGTTCCAGGAGATCCCCACCACCAAGAGCACAGCAGTGTTTGCAGGAAGCATTAGAACAGAGCAGTAGCAATACCAAGTGAAAGAGTCAGCCACTTTATTTTTCAAAGACACCTAGAGAGGCTGGATATCAGACTGGCTACTTCAACTAGTGTGTGAGAAAACCCCAGAGACACGGACATGAGAGGTTAGATGGTGACTGACGTGCTGTTTCTGTAGTAACCTGTGCACTTCTACCATGGCAGAGTTTCCCCCTGCCAGTCCAGGAAGGAACCATTCTCTTTTTCACCAAGACGCTCCAGAACAGAGAGAATACCAGGGATAGCCTCTTGCACCTGCATGGGAGCCTGGAAAGGATCAAGCTTAGGTCATTACTGGGAATTTCCTATGGAAAAGAAACAAATGCATTTAAGGAGTTACTGGAATCAAGAGGGATGCATTTTCCTGCTTCTCAGTGCCTCTGCGGCACAGGGAGGCAAACACTGTGCCAGGGGTTCTTGATCAGGGGTTGGGATAAAAAGGGAGCTCTATTTTCACTTTTTCAGAGGTGTCACTTACCATGTTGCCACCCATGTCTGTCTGGAGCCAGCCTGGATGCAAAGAAATGCAGAGAATTCCATCCGATTTCAGGTCTGCAGCAAGACACCTGGTGATCATGTTCAGTGCAGTCTGCGAGGGTGGAAACCATCTGTTAGGGTGCTGGTTTATAAACCTCGAGCAAGACCTCAAACCAAGCTAATTGGCACCTCCCTTCCACCATTCTGGCAGTAACAGCATCACAGTAACTTTTCCAGACTTACTGGCCCTGCATTCTCAGAGATACCTGTTAGTAGGAGCATTGTGAAGGCTCTATAACCACAGGTTGACTGCCCAAAGATGAAACTGTGTTATGATGGAAGATACAGCAGCATTTGAAACTCCTAAGGAGCTGGGAGGAAAATAATGTTGACATAAGGACTGTGTTTTTCTGCAATAACCACTACACAAACCTTCGTTTACTTCTGAACAGGGTAAACAAGCGTTTAACAGCTTATGAGTAGGTGGTGTAGGAGAAACTCCGTGCCTGATCTTGACTATCTGTGCAAACTCAGTCTCTGGAGGTGAGAAAACTAAGAATCCCACCTCTCACTAAGCAGCATCACCACGTACAGGTCAGCACACCTTTTGCTGAGTTCCGTGCTGTCTCTCCTCAACTGGAGGGGAACGCAGCTGACAGCACACACATTTCACACCACCAGTTCTTCCCCGAGTGCCAAATCCCTCTGAATCACAGCAGTGATTCGGGGGAGCCTGTTCTTCAGAAGTTCACATGCAGGTGTTGCACAGGTCCCACTTCCACCCACGTGGAGAGCAAGCCCAGTTTCTGTGTCCGTGGAGGTGCTGCCCACCTCCCATCACCATCCTAAGCTCGGCTAGACTCTAACTCCCAGCCCAGGGGAGCCCACAAACCTTGGCTATCCTGTAGGGATAGACCTTGAGGAACATCTCATTGGCCTGGACGAGCTGCATGGAGGCAGCAAGGGAGGACATGTTGATAATAGCAGCTCTGTGGCAGCCCATTCCTGTGCTCAGCTGGGCTGCCTTCCTCAGGAGGGGTAGGAATGCCTGGGGAAAAAGAGTTTGGTTTAATTTTGTGATTTTGGTTTGATTTAGTCTGCATAATTTCCCCATTCGAGGCGAGCCAGACTCTTGAAGAATTCCAGTACCACCGGCACAAAATGGTGATGGTTCCTCAGGCTTGGTGGCCATAGAAAACCTTCCTACAGCAGCCAGCTGGAAGTAGCAAGGACCTTCAGACTCTTCTACCCACCTCCTAACCCCACCTGTCCACTGAAGGGACCTCACATCAGGTAGATCTAAACTCAGAGACAGACCCTTGACAAACTGCTCCTCTCTAGACATGCAGTTCAACACCAGAACTTGCAGTTCCAAGGGGAAAAACACCTTGGTTATAGGAGAAAACCCTCTTTAGTACCCCAGACGAAGCACATTCCTCCCAGTTCTTACCTTGGTGACCATCAGCTGGGCCACAGTGTTGGTTTCATAGATGGTGAGCATTGTCTCTGCCGTCACCTCTTCCAAGGAGGCGAGCACATTGATGCCAGCGTTGTTGATGAGGCAGTTCAGCCCCTTGTCCCCCACGATTTCTTCCACTTCCTTAACTACTTTCTTGATGCTGTTTTCACAGACCACATCTGCACAGAGGAGGCACAGGGAACAGTGTGGATCAGAGTCAGTCTGGCACGACACAACACGTGCCCAAACCAAAGCTAAAGCCGACTGGGGACATTTAGGCAGCGCACAGGTGACAATGCACAGAAGATTTTAGGTGGATTTTTGTTTCCCCAGTGTTATCTTAAGGTAGTTTTCAGCTGCTGGAGATCATGTCCAGCTACTGATCACCCAGGAGAGCGTGTTCTTGAGGTGTACTCACCTGAGGAAGTTGAAGATATTTCTATGGACAGAAATAAAGCCCTTTACTCACCCAGTTGGAGGAGTTTGATATTGCTGTACTGCTTGCTAAGCTGCTGGAGTTCCTAGGAAAAAGACATTTTTTTTGTTATCTTCCACATATATAAATATATACATATATATAGAGAGAGAGATCTCCATGGCTATTACATAAAACAGTTTGAGATCTGCACCTCCAGAACTGTAACTGAAATATTGCCATGACTGGACCGAAGACATCGATGCTACTTTGTTCTCCAGCCTGCTGAGCACCTTTCCTGAGCGCCAGATCAACAGCTCCAAGAAACTGGACCCTTTCCCTGCTTAGTCAGATCCCAGCATGCTGGATTTTTAGTGGGATAGTTCTCAGTGTGCTCAGCTCCGGGGTATGTTTGCAGTGTAAGCACCAACCAGCAGTTCCACAGCAGCCCCGGGGCTCAGGCAGCATTCCAGTAAAAAGCCAGTAATTCCCCAATTCTGTAAGAAAAGCATCATTCTCCTGA